CTTTATAAAGTATAAAGCTAATGTAAGATTTTTTTTTCTTCTTAGAACCTTTAAATGATGGGAAGTGGCATGCCACAATGATAATTTTAATGAATGATAGGATTGAGTTGCATGTAGATGGTAGACCCAGCATCACTAAACGAACATTTTCCATGATGACGGGCCAGGAATATCTTATTGGAGGTATGTTATCCTTATAACCATGGTTAGTTTCTAACCTTAAAAGAATAATAAAAGTTATGTATAAATACACACATACACACCTGAGTTTGTTTTGTTATAAACCAGTATACAAAAGGAATAGTTGAAAGATCTAAGTCTAGTTGTGTAATGTAATTATTTCGTATTCTTCATATTAAATGTTAAAAATATTTAAAAGTTTGTCAAAAAGTCATGAAATTGTCCATTCAAACTGAATAACCAAAGCTTTCTCAAAAAAATAGTTAAGCTACCTTTTAGTCTGGAATATATAACCTAACCATATAACAGTGTTTCAGCATTATTTACGTTGACAATTCACTTCTTAAATTCTCAAGAAAAAAAAATTACTGAAATATATATTTTTAGAAACAATTATTAATTTAAATTATTTTCTTATTTATGATGTAAATAATAATAACTAGTTCACTGTTTTCCCTGATATAATTGTCAGTACAACTAAATACCTTTTTGTAAATTGACCTAATTATAATTTTTAGTTATAATAATTAGGAGTGTAATTTTCTTGTTAAATGAGACTCCTAGGATGATTTTTTTAAAATTGTGTACCAAAATATTCCTTTCAGTTCAAGCATGCAAACTTATTATTCTCATCAGTGTCTAGTCTTTTTCTTTTAAAGCTTGATTTTAGCATCAGAAAGTTGGTATAAGTAGAGTGAAATGACCTACAATTCAACATTTTAGAAATAATGTATTAATACTATTAATAGGATACTGCTTGAAGTATGACTGATTTTTCCACATACCTTACATTGCTAAAGGGTCATGCTTCTGAACTCCTGTAAAATTTTGTGTGTGTAAGGGTATACCTGGAATAGAAAGCATTATTAATTATAACTTCTCTTAAGCGCCTGTGTGAATTCCAGGAATTTATAAATGCACATCTTGTTACAGATTGTGTTTACGTAGTAAAAGAATTGTGAAATGTATCTATACTTGCAGGGGGTTTACATGAATCTGAGGGTTTCGTTGGTTGCATGCGATACATTTATGTGGAAGGCCGCTACATTCATGTTCTGTCTCTGCCCAGCAACAGATACACTGAGGGAGTTGTGTTTGATGCTTGTCAAATGTTTGATAGGTAGGTGAAAATCAGAAGCAAAAGAAGTGTACAATTTGAGAACTATAGTTTTAACATGCTTTTCTCAATCACAGAAATTGTAATTGAAAATGCTTTTTTACAGGTGTTTTTATTGTATATCACAGTTTATACTAGGGTAAACCATTTTCAAAAATTATATTGTAATTATCTTGTTAAAAGGATTTTCCATAATGTTTATTTAAGGTTGGGAAGTCTTAATGGCCAGAGCCTTTTTAGTCTTTCTTTCATCTGTTGCCTCGAACAGAATGTCAAATTCTTAAACTTTATTTTTATGGCCACATTCCATTGCATGCTGGAAAACATGTAATTTGTTATAGAGGGAAGAAGTACAATGTTTTACAATTCTTTGCCGAAGAATCTGGTAGTGAACTTAATGTAGCCATTTCAAGTGGAGAGGACGTTTATATTTATAGTACTTCATGTGTGGGTCATTCTATATCAAGTTATTCTTTTTCTTATTAGACTCGGATTCCCTACAGGTGTCTCTTTTTGTTTTCTCAGTCAATATGTAAATGGTATGGATATAAGGTTTCGAAAGTTTAAAGACATATGATAAGGCACCATTAAAACATCACAAGAACTCGCTAGATTTACATTTCCTCAAATTTGTCAGACCTGTAACTTATGTCTAATTTCTTAAGAATTCAGCTTACTAGGTCAGCTGAGTGGTCTCTTCTTCAAGTTGAAATGAAAACTAAAATCAGAAAAAAATAACTTTTTTTTATGTCCTACAACACAAACAGCTTTAACGACTTTAAGAACTATCATTGATGTCAATATGTACACATGACATTATTTAGAAACATACAACATAGTTTTAAAAGAGGTTATTTTCAAACCTTACATCTACTTGGTAAACCAAACTACAGTGGTAGCTTCTTACAAAACCTAAATAATGTTATCACTAATTTATCCAAGTATTATCTCAATAATATAGGAAAGAAAGTGTTAGCTAGAAGCTTATTCTTTGCTCTGTCACCTTCAAAACTTTGGTGGATTTCCTTAATCTTTTGAGACAATTTTACATAGGATAAAAAAAAAAGAACCAATTTGGGCCAAAAGTGATCTATCATTTGATAACATCAGGATCCATATCAGCAGTTCTGTTCTTGATGTTCTCCATAACTACAATCAACACAAACTATCCAATCTACTCAGTAAGGATGCAATGTGTGTTTTAAAACAAAATGCACTAAAGATATGATCATTACTGAGCTTGTATTCCTTGATAGGGTTGACTATATACATAAAATAGATCCAACCAAATTTGAGAAACTTAACAAAGATCGCACTTTCACTAGAGAGGCCAAGTTATAAAGTTTCTTAGTAAAATTAAAGGAGAATGGTATTGTTTCTGAATCTGTTTATTATGATATGAGTCTTACAAACTCCTCATCCTGGAATTCTTTATGGATTACAAAAAACATAAAGCAAATATACCCATGAAACTTATTGTGTCTGTTACTGGTAATAATAATAATAATAGATAAAATATAAATTTTTACCAGAAAAAAACTTAATATTAATTTAGAAGATTTTATAGGCTATGCAAATAAATTTGCAAAGTGTAAGATGAAAAAAGTATTATTATACTTAACGTGAAAATTGTATTGCACTTGGATTGCTTGAGTAAAGGATTTGTAAATTAACAGACAGATCTTTCTTAAAAATACTTTATTAAAAATCTGATTTTTTGTGTAAAACAGATTTGTGATGTTTACTAAAAGCTTACTATATTTCATGAAGATACACATACTACACTTAAATTTACAGTGTGTATAGTTTTATGGTTAAATGGGGGTTACTAAGTCAGTCAAAATGACCGAGTCAATGTACAGAGAGTTAATTAAACATGGCAATCCCTATTCATCTGTAAATATAAATGTCTCTGCTTGAAAGGCTTCACTAAATTCACTATCAGATGTTTCTGGCAAAAGATTAGGGAACATCTTATTTCTTCCATCTGTTACAACTTGCATGCTAGGGAATGTGACTGTAATATTAAATTTGAAAAATTTTGGAATCTTATTCAAGACAACAGATGAAAGAACATTAAGTTTCCAAGAACCTTTAGCCATTAAGACAATCCAGCATGAAATAAACATCATGGAGAGTTCTTTTAACATGTTATTTCAGGTAGATTTTGTGTAGTCAAGGAGCTTGTTATAATATTTGGAAATTTGGAGATGCAGTAACCGGAAAATTAAAAGGTGTACAATAGTAAAATTATGACAGTGATAGACGATAAATGTATGTAATGAATAGGTGTTTTAAATCATGTAATATACAGTTTCAGACAAAAGTGTTAATATCCTATGCCTGTTATACAATAAGTGAAGGTAACAGAATAAGGATAAGCATTTAGTAAACTTTAATTACTTTTAATAAAACAAAAATGAAAAATACACACTTTCTAGACATTTAATTAATAACGTTTTATTGAAAAATAAACTTACTTCATTTAAAGTATTTGTTTGTGTGAGATAAAAGTATTTTCGTCTCTGCTTTAGTATTTTGTGTGCCCTTCTTATGATTTTATTTTAGCTTTCAGAAATTCATGACAATTTTTAACCAGTGCATTTCATCTTGAAGAAATCTGGGCCCATTCTATTTTGCACATTCCTTTCAACTCAGACAAATTGGACGAACAATGCTTGGCTACAGCTTTTTTCAGATCAGTCCAATTGTAATTACTATAACTGTATACAGAAAACATACCCACACCAACAGGTACCTACTCTTCCAGTTCTATCATCCAACTGTTATAAAACATGATATAATCCAATGCCTGAACAACAGACCTAAAATATCCATCAAAACAGAATGCCAGAACATCATAAAGTGTTTTAAACAGAATGGTTATATTCCATCTTCATCACCGATTCCCTAAAAAAAGAGACCACAACAGAAAGAAAAGATGAGGAGAACACTACTACTACTATTTACCTCCCCTACATGCAAAACTAAAGTGAAAAATTCAAACATATAGCCAAGAAGTTCAACATAAACATCTGCTGAAAATCTTACAAAACAGAAAGATCTATCCTGGTCAAAACTAAACAGAAACTCACTAACAAGAAACACAAAAATGTAATCTATCAAATTCTTTGTTCCTGTAACAAAACCTACATTGGAGAAATGGTAAGACAACTGAGGACAAAAATAAAAGAACACAAAGTCAGCACAAGACTAAGGAAAACAAAAAATTCAGTTATTGTAGAACCTACTAAAATGGACTGAGACGAAGCTCAAATCATCAACTCGGACAAATTTTAGAAAACAAGTAAAATAAAGGAATCTTTCTACATCAACATAATAGAAACCTTCATTAAACAGAGACTCGGGCATAGAAATCAACAATTTATGGCTACCATTGGTT